ACTACTTCCACACTTCAAGCTCTTGGCAATATCATCGTCTCCGTCGTCGGAACCGGTATCTTAGGTTTGCCTTATGCTTTCAGAATCGCCGGTTGGGGTGCTGGATCATTTGGCGTCGCACTCGCCGGCGTCGCCACCTATTACTGCATGCTCCTCCTGGTTCGTTTCTTCTTTTCTTTTGTTTGTCGTTTAGATTGATAGAGATAACTGGATTTTGGTAAATGATCCACCTGTTTGGATGATGAAATTGCTTAGGATTCATTAGCTTGCGTGATTGCGGTACGGTGTAGTATTAGCCTGGTTGACGAGTTGATTTTCTGAATCTGAGAGAGTGTTTTCAGTGCTTCTACTGCGATTTCTTTCTTCCTTGTTAACTAATGAACGGTTTGAATGTTGTTGTGTGCCTAAATGTGGGAGTTATGGTGTTTGATCTCTCGGAAAGCTATTGTCGTAAGGTAAGGTGTTAATTTAACCTGTTAGGCGAATTTATTTTAGGAGTCTGAGAGAACGTGTTCGTACTGCGAGTTTCTTTTCTTTTCTTTTTTTTTTTTTTTTTTTTTTTCCTTTTCCTCTTCTTCATTGTTAACTAATGAAAAGTTGGAATGCTGTTGTATGTGTAAATGTTTGAATTGTTGTTGTTGATTCCTCGGAATGCTATTTTGAAGTTAAATTTTAATTCAATTTTCTCGTTTATATAAGGTGATCAACAGTTCGGATGATGAAATTGATTAAGTTCATAAGCTTTCATCGTTACGTTAAGGTATAATGCTGACCTGTTCAGCGAATTAATTTCTGAATATAAGAGAACCTGTTCGGTGTTTCTACTGAGCTTTTATTTTACGTTGTTAACCAATAAAACATTTGAATGTTGTATGTTAAATGTTTGAATTATTGTGTTTGATGCCTTTGTGAAGATTTTCTGAAGCTGTAGTTCTGTTCAATTTTCTTGTCATGTAAGGTGAAATGTAGGGAGAAATTGACGTCACAAGGAAGATCCAAGGAATCAAGAACGTTTGGGGATTTGGGATACATATGTATGGGAAGCAAAGGTCGATACCTTACAGAGTTTCTCATTTTCTTTGCCCAATGTGGAGGCTCGGTGGCATACCTAGTATTTATTGGTCAAAACCTTTCATCTGTATTTCAAGGTCATGGCCTCGCAATGTCATACTATATATTTTTAATAGCAGTAGTTGAAGTTGTGTTGTCATGGATTCCAAGTCTGGCTGCTTTAGCACCCTTCAGTATCTTTGCTGATATTTGCAATGCAATAGCAATGGGAATCGTGGTGAAGGAAGATATACAAAAAGCAATAGCCGGCGGAATTTCATTTGATAAAAGAACAGCTATTACATCGAATATGCGAGGTTTGCCGTTTGCAGGAGGGATGGCAGTGTTCTGTTTTGAAGGATTTGGTATGACATTGGCTTTGGAGTCCTCTATGAAAGACAAGGCTGCATTCCCAAAGGTTCTTGCTCAGGCTTTTGTAGGAATAACCACTGTGTACGTTTTGTTTGGGTTCTCTGGATACATGGCTTATGGTGATGAAACCAGAGATATTATCACTCTGAATCTCCCCAATACTTGGTCAACAAAAGCAATTCAGGTAAACATGGTTATGGATGCATTACTAATTTCTCAGATTTGATTTTTCTTTCATGGAAATGTTTAGATTACTTTTTATTCACCTTCCACCATATCATCCTTGAGATGAGGTTGCAGCATTAGGCAAGATCAAGCCCTGTATGCATTCACGTCTTTGAGGGTTAATTTAAATTTATAACAAGATTTCCACAAGAGAATAAATTATAAATCATTAGCTAGCTGTATGTTTTATCACTATGTCACATCACATGCTACTCTGTTGCAAGTTGGACATTTGTTACATTTTCATGTGGTTGTTCTCTCTTATGCATGTGCTGCTGATTGAATTTATCTATTTTGTTATTTTGTTGCTGCTTGATTAGTTTTTTTGATTTGACGCATTGTCAATGATTTATAGGGAACAGTGCCTCTTTTTTGTTCAACAGTTGAATCATCTGTTGGCCTTTAACACTACCCTTTTCCCAAACATATTAATGAACGTCCAAAATTGTGCAAAAGCAACGTGTCAAAAGAATCTTTCTGATGCTGTTGAATCTTTGAGTAGTTTCTCCTCCTCTTCTGCTCCCCTGCTCTAAAAAACATGGATTTTAGAATGCTGATCTGTATTTCTCTGTGTTGCATTGCATCTGAATGACGTTGAATCTGTGATTAGAAATGTACATTTAGGAATTAATCAAACTCTATCTTTTGTTTATGCTGATAGTTTCCTCCCTAAAACTCGTGAAAAGAGATGTGTCAACTTGAACCATGCTAGGTTTTTGTACCATAGATGATAGATGATTGTCTAAAGATACTAATTGGTGGAACATAGATAATTGTAACTTTCAGACTACTCACTAACCCATGGGAAATATGACTAGACAAACAAAACAAAATGATACAAAGAATTGTAGAAAGCTAATGATTCGTTCCTAGAGAATGTCCCCTAACAGATATGAATAATCGAAACTGTTTCTCCTAATGTTGGTTAATTAACAGCTACTTTAAGTTTGTAGATGTCTTTTAAAGTATAAACTGTTAGGCCCCCTATTGTGAATATGTACGTTAAAAGGGTGTAATGAGGGAAAAGTCCTATGGAAGTTAATTAGAGGGTCTATTTCTGTTAGTGTGATGTGTTGTCCGTATAGCTGACTGTAGGCGTAATTTGGCTATGTTTTGTGGGTATTAATATTACCTTGTTAGTGAGGGAAGGTTGGGAAGTATTCTGTGAAAAGAATAGCCTTTTGGAAGAGATTACCAATCCTCTGGAATTGGCTGGGTGTTACAATCAAATAGATAGAACAGGATCATTACATAAACCTCACCGTAAGATAGATCTTCGAGGCATGGAAGTTTATTTGAAAAGATTTTCAGTCACTTTATAATCCAGTTAATGGGTCTTCCCTTCACTAGAATTTGACTTCAAAACCTTATTATCATTTAGTTTTTCTTTGTAGTTTGTTATAATACATCTTAGTTGGCACGAAAATGAAACAAATTTTCTCACTTGAATCTTAAATGTGCTTCAGGTTGGATTATGTGTGGGGCTGGTTTTCACATTCCCTATGATGTTGCATCCAATTAACGAGATTGTGGAGGATAAGTTGAAACAAAGCAGCTGGTTTGAGAAGATTCAAGACAGCAATAATGTATTTTCAGGTAAACAACTGAAGGTAGCTACGTACATCAGTCGGGCAATCATCGTGCTCGGATTGGCCATGTTGGCTTCATTTGTTCCAGGTTTTGGTCTCTTTGCCTCGCTCGTTGGCAGTACTGTATGTGCTTTAATCTCATTTGTTTTACCCGCGATTTTTCACCTGAGGTTAATGGGTTCTTCTCTAAGCTTCGGCCAAAAAGTTTTGGATTCTTTCATTTTGATATCCGGATTGCTTTTTGCCGTTTATGGTACGTATAATTCTCTGGTTGGTATCTGAGCTGCTGTTTATGTGTAACTTAAACCACTTTTTATAGTAGAATGGCTGTTTTTACACTATTGCATTTCTTTTTATCACTTTTCATGTTTTTTTTTGGGGGGGGGGGGGGGTAGATTAGGAAACTCTCTCTAAGTTTGAAAGATTAGTACGTACATTTGTTCTCAGGTTTGCAGTTTAATCCCTTTTTTGTGATTTCGCTTTGATTTTATTCATTAAAGTCATCTCCCTCCTGGTTTGTTTTGGTGTTGGTTATAGTGTGTTTGGTAGGGGTGAAAGGAATCAAGCTGGTAGTTCGGTTCAGTTTACAGAGCTATTCAGGCCAAACCGAGTAAGTCCTCGGTCGTAACTGAACCGACCAAATTGTAAGCCTTGGGGGCAACTTGCTCCATCGTCTTGTTGGTTGGAACAACATTTTGTTTATTGAGTCTATGCTTTCAATTCGTTGTATTCTTGCCCAACTTAACATGCATTTCATCGTGCCATGTTGGGGCGATAGGCGGATGTGTTCATGCATTCGAATAAGAGCTTTTGAGTTGCTAGGTAAATATAGGGTTGGAAGGAATAAGTGCAAGACCCTCAACAAAAGAATAGATTAAGGTGATAGAATATTATAAGGAGACAAAATTGTTTTACCGAGTGAAAGAAGGGGAAGGAGTGAAGCAGTCAGACTATAAAAGAGGTATATTTTCTTTCTTTCAAGCGAGAAAAAGTTAGCTCCTTTATCCAAAGATGAGGAGAACTAGAAGCCAAATTAAAGAGGTTGGAAACTCAATAGGTTTACACTTATATTTGGTAGATTTTGGTTGCATTAATTCTAATTGTTGCCTTAGTTGTGGTTTGCCCTGGGGTTGGTGTTCAAAAAACTCTTCGAGCGAATTTTTACAGAATGAAAATAGGATATGACTTCGTATATCAGAGTGAAAAATTGAATCATAGAACTTTAAGATTTTAATTTATACGGTCGGACCTTTAACCTTTAAAAAACAACTATTAACAGACAACATATAAAAAATATAAAATAATCATTTTTATATAAAGTAAATATGATTATTTAGAGATTTTTCTAATAGAAGGTAAGATAAAAAAAATATTTTATTTTAATTTTTTTTTAATAAAATGTTTAGTGTATAGTTAACGAGCAAGCTTAAGACTTTCAACGCTTTTTAAGAAGGTTAAAAAATAAACGATGGTTTAACTAATCTCCCTTTTCTTCTACTTGCTTCACATGTTCTCTATTTATATAAATTATCTTCTTTAAAGAACCATTTAGTGGCCATGGCTATTTCTCGCTATGAGAGTCCCCTCTTTCCCGTTCCTTGGGTCGTGTTGTCGTTGTGCAACTCTTTTATCTTTGATTGTAGAGTTTACGAGAAGGGATGTTAGTGTTCGGAGTCTTAATTTGTCCAAAGGCTTTCTCTATAGTTCTTTCTTCCATTGTTTGGTTGAAACTTTCTAAGGTCAAGTTCTTTATATTGCATGTTATACAAAGAAGAGCTAATATATCTTGGATTCAATCTCAAGAGGTCCACATCTAATTACATTTCCATTGGCCTTCTCTGCTTATAAAGCTTCACATATATTTTCAAGATTAGAGCACATATCCCCTCTAAGCCTAAAAGATTCCCTTGAAAAATACAACACAAAATGAAATTAAAACCGAGTAAAAGTGAAGAAAATCCTGTGTAGTGAAAGCCATGGCATGAGCTCAATTATACTTGGTTGCAATTTTCAACTACTCCTGCAGAAAATCATTAGTTGCCATGGTTAGCAAAGTACACACCAAATCAGAAACTACTCATGAATTTTACACTAGTCATGAAAGATAAACCTTTTGGCTCATAAGAATTTCAACGGCTATATTAACGTCCCCATCCGCCGCTGCTAGTGCAACTTCTACCTGGGTCTGTAAATATTCCAAAATATTTTGAGTCAAAGGCTGCCACTGAAATTGTAACAGTCCAAACCCACCGCTAGTAGATATTGTCCTCTTTGGGCTTCCTCTTTAAGGTTTTTAAAACGTGTCTGCTAAGAAGAGGTTTCCACACCCTTATAAAGGGTGTTTCGTTCTCCTCCCCAACCGATGTGGGATCTCATAGAAAAAGCATTGGTTAGCTATGTTTTACACTAGTTTATACATGTATTTTTCCAAAAAATATACAGAAATGTAAACCATGTGTTAGGATACAAGTGTATTCACAACTTTTAGAAACAAAACATTCAAAGAAGTTGATTGAGTTGTTAATGTTATATAGCCTTTAAGAGTAAGAAGTTAGAGAATCCAATTGAACTTAACAGACACCTAACAAAGAATTTTGCAGATTTGAAAGGCAGGTCATACATAAGAGAGAATGCAGAAATGTATGCTTTTAGAGGCAAACGGAAACTCCAACTTTCTGAAATCAATGATCAAATTGGCCATTCGTTTAGCTACGGTTTCTAGAATAGAATCTTCTATCTTGATTGATGGGTAAAATGAGTTTATATGAGGTGTCAACATCTAGCATGTATAAAGAAACGAGAAAGCTGAAAACAAACTTCTAAGAAATACCTGACCAGTCTGGCGAAAAAAGTGTGAAGATTAGAGGTATAAAATTAAGTCTACGCACATATGGCACAAAATCCTCTATGTTATGAGTAAAGAAGAAAGCCCTTTCCTAACAAAAATGGATCAATAAATGTAATAGTTCAAGCCCACCGCTAACAGATATTGTCTGCTTTGACCAGTTACGTATCGCCATCAGCTTCACGATTTTAAAACATGTCTATTAGGGAGAGGTTTTCACAACCTTATAAAGGTTTCGTTCCCTCTCCAACCAATGTGGGATCTCACAATCCACCCTCCTTGGGGTCCCAGCGTCCTCACTGGCACACCGCCTGGTGTCTGGCTCTGATACCATTTGTAATAGCCCAAGCACACCGCTAACAAATATTGTTTGCTTTAGCCCGTTACGTATCGTCGTCAGCCTCACGGTTTTAAAACGTGTCTATTAGGGAGAGGTTTCCACACCTTTATAAAGAATATTTCGTTCCCCTCTACAACCAATGTGGGATCTCACAATAATCTTGGTACGAACTTTAGAATTATACTAATAATGATGGCAATGTAAGTATTAGAGCAAAGGGGAGTACGAAAAGAGAGTACTTGCCCATATAGTCACGCAGTTCAGAGAAGTATTTTAAAACAGTAATAAAAACGGGCTATTGCAATGACATGGAGTAAAAAAGTTACCTTTTCAAAACCCATTGATACTAATTTTTGAATCGCTGCATCAAAGGCAACTGGTCTCTGCAACAAGTTCACAATTAAACCAAAGACTCTGGAAAGAGAAAAGTACGCAGGAAGACGAGACGAACCTGGTTTTGTATTGGGGTTGCCCGATCTACTACCGCGGTATTGTTTTGCCTAACAAAATCATCAAGTAAAACCCTATAAGATGTTGGGGTAAGAAAATCATGCATGACACTGCATTATAGGCACTGATTTGTGTATCAACATTTATAAAATGCTTCTTGAAACAAAAAATAATAATAATAAATAATTAAAACATTCTCAAACAGACCCATAATATAATTTGTTTCCTGGGAAGGAAAAACATAAATAAATCTCCAGCTTTTCATAGTATTAGATTTCTATAGATTTGTAATACCAACATGGGCACGTTTCATTATTAACCATACAGCATGCCAAAACTTTCACTTCGACAAACTTCAAAAGTCAATACAGCACAGACAACATCTAGAATTGCTCGAGTGAACTAGTATTATAGAGCTTCTGAACCTAACAAAATTGGCTTTAAATTCACATTATAGTTCTGATTATCTCTCAGGTCAAGATATACATCATAGTATAAATGTAAAAAGACCCTTAGAAATAATTTAGTTTTTTATCTCTAGACTTTCAATTTCATCAAATTATACCCTAGACTTATTTTTTCCAAAATTCATAAATTTTGGCAAAAATTTAGCTCCAATATCGTTTTTCTTTAAAAACCCTATCAATTTTGGACCATAAATATGTTTTTATAATTCATTGTATATGAGAATACTTTTTCTTAATGAATTTTCAAATGAATACTTATGAGAAGGTAAAGATTGCAACAAATTATCTATGCTTGGGGTGCAATTTGACTAAATTAAAATTTTAGGATTAGTTGATACAACTTGACAAGTTCAAGAATAAAAATCGATTTTTACCCCCAAAATCTTATTACCTTCCATCAGATGACTGATGGTCTGCAGCACTCCTATCCAATAACCTGGTCTGCAGATCAAACTCTGAATCATCAACAGGAACTGTTTGGTTTTGAACGGAACCAAGTGTTCTTCCACGTCCAGGAAATCTGCTGTCTTGTTGTGGCTGTAACACGTCAAATTTCCAATCATAACAACGCCAACATTGATAATAAAACAAAATATTTAATGTTTTTTTGTTTTGGTTTAACCAAGTTCACTTTGAATGATGTTGTTAGTAACCAAAAGAATAAGAGATCTTAATGATCTGTTCACAACTACTACGAGTTTCCACAAGCAACTACAGAAGCTTGCACTGCCCTCCTCCTGTCTTCAATCCTCAGCTACACTCTCTTGTTAACTCTAAACAGATTAGCTCAGCAAGTTATAACTCCCAAGATAACTAAATCACCCGAATTAATGGTGCTAATTATCAACCTAACCACACTGCCAAGCGAACTAACTCAGCAAGTTCACTCTGAATGATTTTTTTAATAACCCGAGTCTATATTGGTGCTAACTCATGTTTTCCTGTTCTATCTACTTCCCCTTTCCAACTCTATTCTACATCAAAAGCCGAATCATATATGTACGAAGTAATTTTAACCATTTTAAGAGAACAAGATACCTCAGTAACTGCATCTCTACGCGGCATCCATGAAGATAAGTTTCTCCAGACATTAGGAAAGGCGAGGCCACTGTGAAAATGGATGGAAACGTACATAAATATGTAATTGGATAATATAATACATATGATCAGGGTAAAAATTTACTTGGTCATGGTATTTTGGCCAGAATACGTTGGAAGCTGGGCAGAAGGATTTCCACCAGTGCACAAAATAAATTTTGGTCGCCTCACACAAGATGACTACAAAAAAATTACCATTATGAAACCAAAATCAAGAAGGTTACACCAAAGAATGCAACCAAATAAAAATAGATCATTTCCTCAATAAAAATAAAAAATGACAAAGGGAAAGTGGCTACATATATGTACAGCAGTGTTTACAGTCAACTGATAACCAGACTATGAGGGACTATTTATATGGTTGTTTATATTGCTTGGACTATTCAATACCGAAGACACGTTCATCATACTAATAAACAAGGTTTAAAAACATTTCCTCAAACTCTTGATAGTTCTTCAGTTAGATGATATTAGAAAACTCAAAGATTGTCAATCGTAGTTTTATAAAATGTATCTTCATGGTTCTGGAACCTTTTCTTGGATTTATTGTTAGATATGAGGACATCTATCTCAACCCTTCCAGTGTTCAGGCAATGAGATTGGCCAATGCAGAAACTAGTAGAGGTACAAAGTTTCTTTGGTCTAGCTACATTTTATAGGAGATTCATAAGAAACTAGCTACATTTTATAGGGGAGATTCATAAGAAACTACTTTTTCCCCTTCCATAAAAACATGATTGAGACGGTAAAAACCTTCGAAGGATTCTCGAGACAAAATATCAATCTCCAAAAAACAGAGATCATGGGCATCAATATTAGCACAGAGATCATTGAAGAATTTGCTAGCATATATGGTTGTAAAAAGGGAGAATGGCTGAATATGTACCTAGGACTACCTCTAAAAGGAAATCACAAATCCTTTTCCTTCTGGAAGATTATTATTGAGAAAATAGAAAGAAGGTTGTCAACATGGTCATCACGTTATACTTCAAAAGGCGGAAGACTTACCCTAATACAAGCCACATTATCCAACCTCCCTACCTACTATATGTCTCTATTTGAAATGCCACAAAAGGTGGCCGCGGATATAGAAAGACTTTTCAGAAACTACTTGTGGAAAAATAGTGCACACCTTGTTCGTTGGAATATTATAAACCTCCCAACAGAAAAGGGAGGTCTCGGTCTTCTCTTGATAAGGAAGAAGAACACAGCTCTCCTCGCCAAATGGATATGGAGATATCATCATGAAGAAAAGGCCTTAGGGCGAAATCTTATAAAGGCTAAATATACTCCTACATCAAACAAAGATCACCTCCCTCCATCTTCTACAAAAGGGCCTTGAAAGTACAAAAAGAAACATCAAAATCTCATCACCCACCGAACTCGCCATAAGGTGGGGAATGGGGGAAGCACATCATTTTGGACCAACCCATGGATTGAAAGCACCACGCTAGCTTTGAAGTATCCACTTTTGTACAGGCTTTCTCACAACAAAAAAACCATAATTAAAGAAATGTGGACTGTTGTCAACAAATTTTGGGACTTGAAGCTTGGTAGGAATCTAAAGGATAATAAAGCAACGGAGTGGGCCGAATTAAGCATTGACCTTGCCCCTGTGGTATTGTCAAACAAAGAAGACTCACTAACTTGGCTCCCCAGCGCTGACGGAGTCTTTTTTACAAAATTCTTGATGATGGACATGGGGGAAAAAGTAGAAGCAATAAATCCCACGCTAGCAAAGACAATATGGAAAGGACATCAACCTAAAAAGGTGAAGTTCTTCCTTTGGGAAATAGCGCATAAAGCCATCAGCACAAGTGAAAATCTTCAAAAAAGAATGTCTTACATCACTCTCTCTCCAAATTGGTGTCCACTATGCAAGAAAGCAAACGAATCACAAAGTCACTTGTTTATGCAATGCACATACACTCAAAATTTCTGGACAACGATTCTTAATATATTCGGATGTCATCTCACATTTCCTAGGGAGGTAAAGGATTTTTTGGATATGGCCTTAACGTACCATCCTTTCAAGAACGCAAAAGCTCTATTATGGAAAAACCTCATCATGACTTTCTTTTGGAATCTGTGGAAAGAAAGAAATCAGAGAATATTTGCAGAAACAACACAGACCTACACAACTTTTCGACAATGTTGTTTACCCAGCTATATCCTGGTGTAAATAGTCTAATATTGTTACTTCCTATAGTTATACCTCCCTCATTGCAAATTGGGAAGGTCTTTTGTAAACATCATGGATTATACATCCCTCTTGTAAATTTCACTCATCAATGAAATTGTCTCTTATAAAAAAATAAAAAAAAATTTATAAGAAACTGCTCGAAGGGAAATTTTCCAGGAAAAACAACAAACCAATGGGTGCTCGCTCAGATGGATTCTTGGTAGATATAAGGCTAGGAAGGTAGCAAAGCAGTTCACTAAATACTAGGAAATTGATTACCATGAGACCTTTGCCCTCATAGCAAAAATGAACACTATGGTTAACCCACTTTTTTCTTGTTTCTTATTATGGGCGGAAAATGCAGCAATATGACACTAACATGTCTTCACTCGGACGTATTAGTACATTCAGCTTGGAGGCTGTATAGATCTGCTACCATAGTTTATGCCCTCTAATAACTTCACCAATCATTATGACGGTCAAGAACACTAGAATCTTAACGTGATTACAAACAGAGTTATAGTAACAATCTCATTCATCATCCATTGCAACAAAACACTTACAAGCAAAGAGGAAGACTCCATAGTAGAATAAAAGGACGTTCCAGGTGAGAGAAAGTTTAATAATCCATAAGTATCTGCAATGTTGATATAAGAGAATCAGCACCCTCAATTCCTCGATATAAAATAGAAAAATTGGCTTAAGAGATAGGAAAAACTGACAGGCAAATCCAGATACTATGCCACATAGGTGCCCTAGAAATGAGACGTTTGTCATTAGAAGCTGGAACACCACCAACAAAATCCACACATACCTAAACCAGGTCACAGGAATTCAACCAACTATTAACATGAATACACGGGATAGTTGAAATTAATTTAAGCAAATTAATAAATATTACCATTGAGCAGGAACACTAAAGAGGCCAAAAACACTGCAAGTCAAGAGATAGGAAAAAGAAAAACACGTTAGTTAACCTAAACGCATGTATCTATAATGGAAATCAACATATTATACACCATATTATCAAATATGTTTATACAAAAGGATTATCCTGCATATAATGTATGCATAAGACTCATTTAGGAAAAATTGGTCATGTAAGGGAGCAAAGAAAATAATCCAATTTTGAGGCCCAAAGGATGTTCTCCTTGCTATCTAGAGTTTCACTGAACATGATGCCTTTAGACATCAGAAAACCACAATTTTTTTGTTTCAGTGTTCAAAAGACAAGGCAAAGACAGTAAATATCATGTACTACGAGTCATCAGTTTAAAAGACTTACCTCCTGGATTGAATACCACTCAAACTTGTCTCTATAACAATCAATGAAAACAAAATTCCAGAGAATCCTATGGCACACTCATTCATAGGATTGTCATAATGATGAAGGGGGTTATGAGCCATGACAACAGCGATGAAAAGATGAATAATAGCATTGCTTATGGCTAGGAGAATTGTCAGGTAGAGCATGCGGATTGATCCCATGATTCTTTCTAGTTCAGAACCCAAAGGCACTAAAGCCAACATGTTGAATAAAACATGAAGTAGCGAGCCGTGAAAAAGAACGGACGTAAAAATCCTGTAAACTGCATGATAGAACCAAATAGCATTAAGTACCTTGAGAAGAATTGGCCAACTTCTATGTAACAAGTAGCAAAGTAATAAGGGAAAATCACAGGATGTGTATATATGCCATGTAATCAAAAAAATCAGAAATTATAAACTAAGGAAGGAACGTAGGCCACATTAAATGTGAATTGTTAGTACAAATTATGATACAAAGTATCATATTTTGGGTACAAATACTCTAATTTGGTTTATTTCCATCACAGACACAATACCAATTAGTATACTCAGTTTTGTGGAATGCTATTTGCAAGTTTCTTATCCAAATAAAAAGTATACCCTGAGAGTAATCCAACTGCACAGTCCATCATGAAGAAAGATTGACCTTCATGAAAAAACTATAGAATCTAATTTTTTAAACAAATATGCTCAATCATGTAGGAGAATACTATATATATTGCTTGAAAGAAGGATCGTAGGTAGGTGTTGGCTGGCTCAAGATGGTTGTCCGTTATAAATTCCAACAAAACATGGTGGCACCTTACAACTGGGGTTAACATTACAATATTTAATTCAGTAATAAAAACAAGCAAATTTTGTTGAAAAGCAGTTCCGATCTACTTGTTCATTACAAGGTCCCAGCCCCAGGTCTACTATTGTGGTTACACGAAATGATCAGAATCCTAAAAACCTCAACTTATGCATTGGTTAGATTCTGACACCCTAAAACCATGTCAGGAGCATGAATAGAATTACTACAAAAATAAACTAAAAGAGAGAGTCAATAATAGATTCGATGACACAAAAAAACAACCACTACATATTGAGGAAAGGAGAAATATACCTTGGAACTGCGATAGGATTGCCACAGGTAAGAAACATACTTCGACAAATGAGTCATATCCAACCAAGAGACACACCAAGTAAATGGTTCCACAGATAATCATAATAGCTGAAGTAAAGAATGGAATGCCTTCCCACCATTGCCCCACCCTTGTTGGCAATCCTGCCTATCAGCCACCAAAACAAAAAGTGAGGCGGTCTTCTTTATTTTCTCTTTTCTTCTATACTCGGAGAAACATAATGATGCTAGTATCAAGCTTATAACTTAGCTTTAATTATCACTAGAAGTCTATTTAATTGATTTTCAAGTCTAATTTTCCAACTTGTATAATTATAATTCAGCTATCCGCAGTATAAACTAGCTGTTTACCACTGGCCTTAGTTATTTAAATTTGTTTTGTCACTATTATCATTAATGTAAATAATTCAGTAGGACCATGCTTAAGGTTATGGGTCACAATGCAAGGAATTGGGTTAATTTGAGGTTGCAACCCTATAGACTCGCCAGAAGGATTTGAAACTACAGCAACGGTGGAAAAAATAGCCATCTTTCAACTGCCTCATAATTCTCGTATTCATCCTCCCAGTCCATATGTATTATTATTTACTAAATAGTAAGACTGTCAATAATGCTACTCTCCAAGCACAATTTCCACAACCAGAACAAATGGAAGTGGAGCTTCTCCCTACTCCATAAAGATTCATTGGACAGCAGGAAAAAAGAAATGGAAAGGAAATTGCCTTATCCATTAGAAGCAGCATGGAAAGAACATAAACATGGTGGTCGGGCGGTTTTAAATCTCACCCATTAGGGCAAAGGTTCACTTTGAGGAGGAGGAAACTAAATCAAGCTTTTGACTTAGTCCTAATTCTTACTTGAAGTTTCTTCAGCATTTGTCAGCTGAGAAAGCTGTAATTCAGCTGCTTGACATTGGCATCAGTTATCTAGAATTGTTCTCTCACATTACGTGTGTGCAGCCGAGTAAGCTGAAATAAGGATTAAAGATACGAGCTAGCTACCTGAAAACTAAACGAAAACACCTTTGGAGGTGGATCTCTCAAGGAATCTAATCATTTCTTTACATCGGCAGTTTTGGGAGTGCATCCAGACAACAAATCAAACTACGACAGCATTTCAGATACTTAATTAACTCAATTTTTGAAGAACTTCACTGTTATTTACGCTCAAATTCAAAGAAAAACAATCAATTATACACACAAAAATAACTCTCCAGAACCCCAGAACACTTATTTTCCTCCCACTTCACATCAACGAAACAGACTTCGACGATTTTCTTTACCAAGCTCGAATTCCTAAACGGAAATTCAAAGCTCTGGACAAAATCAAGCCAAATTGAAGCTTAGAAAAAGAAAAACGCTAATCAAAAGTTTACCTCGGTGACGATGTTGGATCTCATCCTCTTCGTTGGAAATTCCTGCGACTTGGTTGAAAAGCAAGTCCAGATAGTTCTTGAAGCAACTGCAAATGCCAGGAAGATGGAAGAATTAAAATTTAACGCATTTTTATCTAAGCGGGTGTGTTCATTCACTCGAACTGCTTTTCCCCTTTTTTTCTTCTAAAATAAGTTTGCTCATTGTTCCAAATTAACTCCACCCTATTAAAAGAAAAATGCTAAATTAATCAAAATTATTGTCAAATTTCCAATTTATTTTTAAAATATTTTAATCAAAATTAGTGGGATATTTTTTAAGACCGATAATAACTGTAAGGGTATTTTTGAACTTTTTAAAAAGTTGGTGCTACTAGCAACCTTAGGGCTTAATGCATTGCGGACTTAAAAGGAGTTTGATGTTACTTACCAACATGCGTAGAGAACATGTAACGGTAACGGCTTAGGTTCACGGGCTTCCTCTCAAGGCTTTAAAACGCATCTGCTAGGGGAAGGTTTCCACGCTCTTATAAAGGGTGTTTAATTCTCCTCCCCAGCCAATGTGAAACATCACAATCCACCCCTTTTGGGGCCCAACGTCCTTACTGGCACACCGCCTCGTGTCTACCCCCTTCGGGGAACAACGAGATGGCTGACACATCGTCCGGTGCATAGGCTTTCCCTCAAGGCTTTAAAACGCATCTGCTAGGGGAAGGTTTCCACCCTCTTATAAAGGGTGCTTTGTTCTCCTCTCCAACCAATATGAGACATCACAATTCACCCTCTTTTGGGGCTCAGCATCCTTACTGGCACACCGTCTCGTGTCTACCCCCTTCAGGGAACAGCGAGAAGGCTGACACATCGTCCGGTGTCTAACTCTGATACCATTTGTACGACTCAGGTCCACTGTAGCAGATTTTGTCCTCTTTGGGCTTCCCCTCAAGGCTTTAAAATATGTCTGCTAGGGGAAGGTTTCCACACTCTTAAAGAGTGTTTAGTTCTCCTCCCCAATCAATGTGAGACATCACAATCCACCCCCTTTGGGGCCCAACGTCCTTACTGGCACACCACCTCGTGTCTACACCCTTCGGGGAACAGTGAGAAGGCTGACACATCGTCTGGTGTCTAGCTCTGATACCATTTGTAATGGCCCAAGTCCACCACTACAGATATTGTCCTGGACTTCCCCTCAAGGCTTTAAAACATGTCTGCTAGGGGAAAGTTTTCACGCTCTTATAAATGGTGTTTTGTTCTCCTCTCCAACCAATGTAGGACATTACAAAAGAGAAGTTCATGGAGTTAACAGCTTCCTTGTTAGATTTGTATGATATATGATGATGCGTACTTTGTGACCCCTATACATGTCATGACTATGATTGTTGGCATGTTTTATGTGATGTTACACTATGTTATACATTATTTAATGTCATGTTATGACATATTTATGTTGTGCTATAATATGCTTGTGAAACTATGTTAACACGTTCACTTCATGCCTATGAAACATGAGGAAGTCACATATGTTAATTATGAAAGATGTGACAAGCATTACGTATGCATGAATCATATGCTCATTATGTCATTAATGAATGAATGTAAGACTTCCATCATACACTCATGCCATGATTTTAAGTTGTGGGGATGTAGCGTCCCTATAGCACGTGGCCTCAATTATCCTTTAAAATTGTAACATGAGCGTAATACTCAACAAGTCACTCCACTGTTGAGGTTAGTAACGCAATCACACACATTTAATGATGGGACCTATCCTTTAAAACTATAACATGACTTTGGGCTCTTTTCAATTCCGGGCAGGAAGTCTGGTATTTCCCCACACACGGTCCACGTACGTACACATGGACCCACCAAATAGGCTCGTATACATATCCATGAGTCTTACTTGGTCGGGCACAACGCGTTTATGCGTCACCGAACGCAGCAGAAATGGAAAGACTCGAATGATATCATGGATAATGTAAATATCAAAGATACACGCCTAGACTAACATAATATAACGGGAAAGTATCACGGTGCACATGACACACATACATGCATGAGGTCCCCATGATTTTCATTCATAGCATAACATTAACATCATTTTATTTTTCCTTTCATCCATGACATAGTACATATATGCATCATGTATACGCGGTAGTCATCACATAATTCATCAAATAAATTTACATGGTAAGACACGACACGACATGACATACATAATATTTCATTTCCTTCCCAATATAATGTAATAGATATCTCATGCATACATAGTATATCATCATATGTCATGACATAAAACACATAAATATAGCATTCAATAGCATGGTGCATGCAGGGGCCACAGGACATGCACCATCATACATCATTCAATTATCTAACTTCAATAGTAGAAGACCTTGCAAATGTGTCAAGAGTGCCGAAATAAGCAGGACAGTTGCCAGTCAGAATTATAAGCTGTCGGGGGTTGAATCCAAGACTACCCGAGATTCATTAGTGTCGTTTGTTGACACCTCAATATGGGGAGATCTACTTGTCAAGCAAAACTAAGCTCACCTGACAAGAGCTTGCAGTTCCGAAGTAAGACAAGATAGATGAAACAGAAAGCACCATGACGGTGCCTTCTAAAGAACCATTCACATTAGAGGAATAGTGTCAGTGGTTGCAAGCAGAGAAGCCGAGAGTCGAGAAAAGACAAGCGTCGGCCAAGTACAAAAGTCGTACACAATGTAAGTCCTTACGGGGGGACAACCTTGCTGCAAAGAGGCAGTTGAATTCGAGTGGGGAAGAGCAACATCAATAAGTCTCTCACAAATATAGCATTCAATAGCATGGTGCATGCAGGGGCCACAGGACACGCACCATCATACATCATTCAATTATCTAACTTCAATAGCAAGGTCACTTACTTGATTAGGTCAGGCTAGTGTCACTAATTTGTCCTTAATGAAAGTTTGACTTTGTCATTTGAAATCCAAGTCAACCCATAACATTAGTTTCAAGTTCAAACTTCTACAAAATTATTTCTCTCATTTACTGTGGTCTATAGGTTAGACTTCATAAAAATATTATAACTTTACGGACTTAGAATGTTTATATATATATATATATATATATATATATATATATATTATTTTTATTAAAAATCTCATTTTCTATGGTCAGAATTATCATAGAGTTATCTTGAGAAAATAGGAATGATTTTTTTCTTTATTTTTTTAATTAGTTAATTAATTAACTTATTTTTACTTTATTTTATTATTTTTAACCGTTGTTACACGGGACCTCATGTTATATATGTCGTGTGCATTAAAGATATTTTCTAGTTATGAATAGTGTATGGATGCATACCTTATAATATTTATGTTCGTCATGATATTATGTAGACCATTTTCTTAATATTTTAAAAAAAATTCATGAATTTTTAAAATTAATATTAATTTTTTACCATTTTAGAAAAAAATTGAAATTTTTTAAAAAACTATTTTTGAAAATTTTTTATTGAAAAATATTTAATATAAAATGATATATATATTTAAATTAATTTTAAAAAAAATCGAAATTTACAGAAAATGCAGAGCTCCTTCCCATTGAGAACCACGTCACCGGCGTGGCCCACAACTCAGAGAAAGCTGAGAGACTGAGCGCTGAGGGAGCCGTCTAGTTCTGTCCCGTTGTTTCGACTCTAAATCGGAGCTCTCTTCCCCTTTCCGTGAACTTCTATGCTTTCTTCTCGCCAATGGTAAACTCGATTTCAATTCCTTCTCTCTTCAGTTTCGTTAGATCCAACTTCAGTTGTTTACTGTTCTTCGGTTTCTGTGGCTTTCATTTGTTTTGTGAAGCCATTGCTCTGTGATCGAAGCTTGTCGTAGAAGTTTTATTTGTCTTCGTTTCGTTTAGTACTTGTTAACTCGATGATGTTGTCAATTATGCTTGAATTTTGTTCTGCTATGAAATTGTGCATTGATGTGAGAGTATTCTGCATATTTTGGCCTGGTCGATGTACTTATGTTTATGGAAATTGCTCAGAGATTTGTTCCTTGAGAATTTTTATAGCTGTTGTCTAACGGCGGCTCCGTTGAAGTTTTTTTTTTATTTTGTGGCGTCTTCTTGTTGTTTTTGTTTCTTTTTTTTTTTTTNTTTTTTTTTTTTTTTTTTTTTTTTTTTTTTTTTTTTTTTGCCGCGTTATAGCTGTTGTGTTGATCTCCACTCCCTTGGTCTTTTTGGTTCGTGGATGTTGGATTCTAGAATTGGATAATTCGCTAAATGTAAGAAAATAAGACGTTGATAGATGTAGCATCTACTTCTGCACCTCTACCATTGCAGATTTTAATTTTCATTCTAGTCCTTAAACAGAGATGATTTAACTTTCCTTGATTAGTTTCAACCAGCACCTTTAAGTTGCCTTGCACCTGAGGAAGAGATAATCTAACTCTTCTCCACTATTTTTTGAAAGGTAGCACCAATTTATTAGCAAATAGAAGTGCAGATTCTTCTTTTTAACAATATCTTGATTAAGAAACACTGATTGCATTACAAACTTGACAATTCTAGGAGTTGTCTTATCAGTCACCTCGAATTTCCAATATGATATCCTCACAAGTCACAACCACCCTCTGAAAATTGCTGATGTGGGAGATCGTTGATGTAGTTGAAAAAACCTGATATTTCAAAATTCGTATCCTATCTTCCTGCAAATTGGGCATCCAATCCAACTACCCAGAATAAGATAACAATTTCATTCAGAAACTTGGTCACTATCATCTGTTTCCTTGGTGAAAATCCCAAGAGCCAACCTCTTCATTTCAACAATTAGCCATTGAGTATGCATTTATAGGTGACAAGTGGTTGGTAGAACTTAGGAAATTAGAAATTAGTTGATGAAGGTCGAGGATCTGCTTTGATGTTTTCTAGAAGCTAATATTGGTATCCTGAATCACTTTCAAAGCATAGAGCCTCATGATTTGTTCCTAGCATCTAGAAACAAAAGCCCAAGGATTCCTTTTACACTTCCAAGTCCACTTTACTTTTCCAAGTCTAACTGAGAGTGAGCCAACCCTTCAAAATTTTGATATTTTGTAACAACCCGACTTATTAAACTGGACAATTAAGGGTCGCTACTACAACGTGCAAGACATGAAGTTTTGAAAACAAGTGGAAGCTCAAGTAAAGCATAGAGAGCATTTAAAACA